AGAGCTGGACTGCCACCTCCCTGGCTGGGCCATTGTGCAGTGTCTCATGAGGTCTCTGATAGGTTCCTGTTTCCAATTCTGCACCAATCACGTGGCCCGGGGTTGCTGTGCTCTGATTGGCCACGGCCGCCCTCCCGGGTGTGGGGGCACCATGAGCCACAGCCCTGCAGCCCTGGGGGTGGGGATGGGGATGGGCAGAACTGCCCACACCAAGGTCCCCACGTGGACTCCCAGAGCTGGGGAATCCCTCCCTTCTCAACTCTGTGGGAACAGCTCTAAGCCCAAATCAATTCCCCAGCTCCTTCTCCCCCACTTTGTCCCTGACTTACTGCGTGGGCTTGGGGAGGTCCCTGCACCTCTCTGGGCCTTAGTGTCCTCTGGAGGGACCCGAGCTCCAGTGTGCATGGCTCCGTTCCTGGACAGTGGGAGGGGAGGTTGCGGTGGAGGATGAGAGGGCGGCCCCTCCCGGCAGGGCTCCCTTTACTCAGGTCTCTGCACAAAGTCACCCCCCCACAGAGGCCGTCTTGTTTCCCAACTGTCAGCATCTGCCACAACGTGCCCCATGTGGCCCTGCTCACGCTCTGGGTATACGGCCTGGAGCCCAAGAGATGCTCCAAAAAAACACCCGGGAGGAAGGGAGGCTGGTCACATGGGCCCCTGCCAGCCGGGCTCAGGGACCTTTGATCCTCAGCCCTGTGATTTCCCTGCCAACTTCCAGGTTTCTCTTTGGGCCTTTCATTCATCCACGTGCTTGGTGCCAGGCCTGCAGGCGGCCCGGGAGCACGGCCTTCCTGAGTTTGCTGCTGGACAGGGAGAAGGACGATGGACACAAGATGCACCCCTCAGTTCTGATCGGGGCTCTGAGGCAGCATGAAGCAGCGGGTGGCTGGAGTGTAAGGTGAGGGTTTGTGTGAGCAGTTTAGGCAAGGTGGCCAGGTAGGCCTCTGTGAGGGGGACATCAAGCCGAGGCCTGGGATATCTACAGGAAGAGGAAATAGCCAGTGCAAAGGTCCTGAGGCAGGAGCATGAGGGAGCCTGCAAGGAAGGTGAGAAGCCCACACATGGGAGGGATAGAGGAAGGGAAAGCTAGGAGGTGAGGCTGGGGGACTGCTGGGGGCTGGATTTGATGCAAGTAAGAGCGGAACACAGGAGGGTATGAACTGTGGCGTCTCCACTTGGCTTGGATGGGGCTGAGCTGGCTGCTGGTCAGCCCTGGGGGGAGATGTGGGGCACCCCTGGTCATGTCCAGCAATGATAGAGCCAGGCTCTGACACAGGCTGTCCTGCATTTGAATGCTGCGTGAGGCTGCACAACTCTCTTAGCCTCTCTGTTTCATCCTTCATCTGCAGAGCCAGGGTAGCAGTGCCCACCTCACAGGGCACCAGGGCCAGGTGAGGCTTGGCACCCCTTCATGCTGCCACCTGGCCTAGGGGGTGAGGGGAGCCCCAGGAGACGAGGGGCTCAGTCCCAGGACACTGTCCACCCCTTTTCCATCTGCGGACCATGGGAAGAGGAGGACGTCGGGGGAAGCCAAGGGCCTCGGGAGCCTTGAGCTGGGAGCTGCCCCCGAGCTGGGAGCCGCCCCCGAGCTGGCCGCCAGATCCCCAGGCCACGATGGGGAGGGTTCTTGCCAGGGGTTCCCGTCACTGTCTTGCCTGCCCTCCCCCGTCCTCCTTCCAGGTGGAAGGTTTAATTTGTCACCTGTGCCTCCCACCTTTATACTGAGGGGACGGCTGTATGTGGGGGGAGTTCACAGGTCTCTGGGTCAAGAGGAGCCAAAGCCCGAGGTCAGGGACACTGGCTCAGGGCTCCAGAGCCCTCGCTGTCCCTCCCTGGGACTGCCTGGGTCAGGCCATGTGAGTGCATGAGACTTGGGCCAGGTAAGGACAGAGTTTGAGGGCTGCCACGATGGGCTGGGTCCCCCACGCTGTCACAGGCAGCTGTGTCAACTAGGTGCCCGAGCCCCAAACTCCACAGGAGGAGGGGGAACCCAGCGCCATGGCTACCGTGTCATCCACCACCCATAGGGTGCCTGTCGGGGGTCCAAGACCTCCCGGCTGAATGACCTGAGGCCAGGTCCAGGGCCCAGCCACTCGACCCAGTGGGACAAGGTCACCACAGGGTGTCTCCTGCCAGGCCTGTGGCCCCCACACATGGCACACGTCCCTCCCACATACACACACAGGGTGCTTTTCACACGGGTTTTGTGCACCCGCCACCGCCTTAGTCCCATTTTACAGACGAGGAAAACCTCAGCCACGTGCCCAGGGCTGGGGCCTGCCGCAGTGTCCTCGCTCCTAACACCACCCCCCTGCCCCGGGCCAGCCTTCTCTCGCCCTCAGATCCGGCCCTCGCCCCTGCCAGTGCCGACGGGCGCCGCAGCTCCCTGGGGCCTGGGCGAGGGGAGCAGCGCGTGGACTCCGAGCTCTGCCCCCCGCCAAGGCCGACCCTGAGGCTGGGGGCACTCAGAGCTTCGCCTCGGTGTCTATGTTCTTGTCCAGGAAGCGGGGACGTGTTGGAGGCCTCCAAGCAGCCCTGAAACCCTTAAGGGACACCGGCCCCGCGGGCCCTCAGCAGCGAGCCTCGCTCTAAGGGCGGTGGGAACGTAGTGCCTCGGTTCTCCTGGTGGTGGTGGCGACACATGCTGTGGCTTCGGGACTTGGGTCACACAGCATCCGTTTCCAGGACACCCGCGAGCGACCACGTCTGTGGCCATCACTGGTTGGGACTCCAGGACCGTCCTGCAGGGCCCGCGGGCAGGTCCGAGCGCCACCTAAGCCGTCACGGGAGGCCAGCGAGGAGCAGGGAGGGCTCCGGGCTGCGCCCCCTCTCCCGGCCGTGCTTTTCGGACTTGAAAGGGACCTTCAGAACGCGGCCCCTCGGGGCATGGCTGGTCGATCCGCGGGCTGAGCGCGGCTCTCGCTCCGTGCCAGTTCCCAGCTCACCCTGAAGAAGTGTCGTTTCGCAGGGTCCCTGTCCCCCGTGCTGAGGGAGGCAGCAAGGGTCCCCCGCCGCCTGGCTGCTCCGCAGGTCTGGTCTGCGGCCTCCTGGTGGAGCCGGGCTGCCCCAGGGCCGACCCCGAGCTGGTCTGACGCACTGCCACCTTAGTCCCGTGGGAGGTCTGGGCTCCGGTGGGGCAGGACACCGGGTCCCAGGAGGAGCCCCTCAGGACACCCTGTTTCTCCTCATGCCTGCTTCCTGCTGCTGGACAGATGGCCAGCTCTGTGTCCGGCTCTGCCCAGTGTCCCATCAGCGCCTTCAGCCCAGGCGCAACCAGCCGGTGTCTCTTCTTGCTGGGTTATGCCCATTTCCCTTCCCGCAGGACTCAGGAAAAAACCTCCAGAAGGTGAGAGAAGGATCCAGTTTCTGAAATCCCTGCTGACGGCCCCTCAAAAGGGGCTGGAGATCCCCCGTACACGTGGCTCCATGTCTGCTGGCTCTGGGCCTCGGGTTGCCCAGCCCCCAGGCCGTCCCCACTGTGCACCGGCCGGGTGGGCAGGGCCGTCCTCAGGGCTTCTGACTTCGGTGGCTGTGGGCCACCCAGAATCTCCCTCGGTGACCCTGGTGTGGTCAAGGCGGCCATGGGAAGCCAAACCTGAGTGTCCAGGGAGATGGATGGAGCGCAAGCCCCTCACCACAGGCGTGTGTGGCCTCGGGACCCCCCAGAGGGACGGACGAGGCTGTGCTTCCTTCTCGGGGCAGCTCCTGGGTGATGGGAGCCCATGTTAGGAAGAGCTGGGGGGCCATGGCTCCCCGTCACGTGCTGCCAGCAGTCCCACGGATGTGGGGTGAGGAGGACTCTCAGTGGGGCCCTCAGGCCACCATCAGCCTGGGGACAACGGGAGCAGTGTGGCCACTAGGTGACTGTGAGCAAACGGAGAGGCCCATGAATGACCTCCAGGCCAGCCCGAGACCCTGGGTGGGAGCAGCCCTTGGGGACTTGTTCCTGGACCCACCTCTTCCAGCTGCTTAGTGGGCCACACCGGGAGGCTGACGGCCTCTCCCCTTGGCCCTGGCCCTAAGCTGTGACTTGAGAAGGGGGGGTGAGGCTGAGCATGGCGCTCCAGTGGCCAAGTGGGGCTGCAGTGGTGACACTTGGAGGAGCAGCGGCAGAGGGGGAGGGGCAGGCAGCTCCCAGGGTCTTTGCACCAGTGTTGGAAATCAGCCCTGACATCTGATAATTCAGGGGGGACCTCAAGGGAGATGCAGTGCTTCCTGCTCCCGGGCCTGACCCATGTGACTACCTGTGGAACTGTGAGACCAGCCACGTTGGTGCTGAGCTGGGGAGGGGGCAGTGTCAGCCCTGTTCCCTCTGACCTTCCTACTATGAGCAGCTGCTTAGAAGATGTCACCAGAGCCCCAACAACCACCTGCAGTGTCAGCACTGGTATGGCTTTTTAATAACCACCTTGTTTCAGAAAGGAGGCACATGCTGTCCTTCCATTTGACAGATGAGAAAACTGAGGTTCAAAGGGCCCAAAGTCCCATGGCTGATCAAGTGGTGGAACTGGGACAGGACCCCAGGTCTGCGGGCCCCACTCACCCGCTTCCGCGGTGCCAGACGCCCAGGCAGGGTCTTGGCGGGAAGGTGAGGGCCACCTTGCTTGCTCTGGACCAAGCCATAGACTTGAGAGCGCAGCTGCTGGGGGCACTGGTCCCCCCAGGACTCCCTCTAGGTCAGAGCCATCGCCGGAAAGGACGGCCAGGAAACCACGGCAGGTCCAGTGAAAAATGAGCACGCAGGGCCCCTTTTTCAAAAATTAAGAATTTCAAGGCGGTGACAGCAGAGCACCGCTCCAAGTACGGGCCCTTCTGAGCGTGGGGCCCTGTGTGACCACACAGGTTGCTGCCCAGATGGCCGGCCCTGGCGCAGGCCCCTTCTGAGGGAAGAGCCTGGGAGGCCCCAGCAGGAGTGAGATGCCCTCACCCCAGGCCCAGGGTCACTGCCAGGCAGCCGTTCCCGACGCCTGTGAGAGACAGTGTGATAAAGAAACCAGGACTCCTTAGTCAGATTTATTTTCCTCTAATAGACAGTTTAGCATTTCAAAGTTTGGCATTCTACACTCTTACAAACTTTAGTTATCAGCATCAGAAACACAAAAACATTGCAAGACCTCAAAACACAAATAAATACCAAATAAAACCACACACAGTATACAGTAAACAAAAATATAAAACATAATAATGCTATCAGAAAATTAGACATGTTGTTAACTCACATTAACAACATGATTATTGCTGAGCAATAACTTATACTGTCTTTTTGCTGTTTTTTCTTAGAAGAGCAAAAAACACAGGACGTAAATCACTGGTCACAATCACTTGGACTGTCAAGATGGGTCCTCACAGCGAGTGGTTACTACGGACGGCAATTTTAAAACAGGCAGGTTAAAAATAGAGAGTCAAATGAGAGATCGGCCTTCTTTGGTCTTTGTTTTGGGTAACAGAACTGAACGAAGAGGTGTGCCATCAGAGAGAATGCAGCTCTAAAAATGTTACACGATTGTCTACACGGATTTACACACTTCCTTCATCACAGATGGGACTCTACAGGTAATTCTTATAGAAATCCTTGGAAATAATGCCGGCTTTTGTGTTTATCAATTAAGTCATTTAATTTGCTGTTGAAGGTTATCTTCCTTGTCTACGGGGACTGAGTTATAAAAAGCAATCACCACTAATTACAGGAGTGGTACAGCCATCCCGGACTCTTGCCTCCTTTTCATTGCGAGAGTTCACAAGACAGACTCAAGAAACAGCAGGAGCAGGAGAAATGAAATGCAAGCACTGCCTGGTGCCACTGGGCCTCCTCAAAACACACTGACCTCGAGACTTGGTCACCCAAGGCCAGCGGAAAACGCCCCTAGGATGCTTCTGGGTCTTGCCTCCCTTCCCTTCCCCCACTGGCCCTGGCTCCCTGGTGACAACCAGCACTGCCCAGATAGACAGTAATGCTGACCAGGTCACCCGCCGACACTGGAGCCTCACATTGTCCTCATCTGACCTGGACCCTAGTGGACACATTCTACTTTGGAGAAAACAGAACTATCAAGATTTGCAAACGGAAGACAGAACCATGGTCTTAGGCTGAGAAGTAGATTTGGGTGACAGACCCCTCATTCACCTCACAAATGCAAAGGAGCTCCCGGAATTCTCCCCAGCTCTCCTCTGCACTTTAGTAAGGAAAGATCTGGATTGGAAGTAAAAAATAGTATTTTATAGCTCTGCCTGAGCCCTTATCAGCACTGATAATTACCCCAAGCAGAGGGACACTTTTTGGAGGGCTGAGATTTGGGCAAGAGGCCCCACGAGGAGTCTGAGCTCCTGACCAAGCCCCTGGAGATCGGCGGAGATGCTAGGGGCCAGAACGATAGCCCCTGCAGCACTCCCTCATGTGTAGAAGGGGAAGGAGGTGTGGTCCCCGGCTGTTGGAGGCAGGGCACCCCCAGGGTGCAAGATGGGGTCCTGCCTCTCCCCCCGCCCACCTCGGGCTGACGAGGAAAGGACCCACCTTGGGACCCTACTGTGTTTAAGGGTCCATCCAGACACCCTTTCCTCTGCCTGATGTTGCCCACCAGCTGCAAGATGCCAGGACTGCCACGGGTGACCACCACCACGACACTGCCGAGAGTGAAGGGGGTACTCTTGATGACGTCGGGACTGCGGGCGTCAACCGGGACATGTGGCCCCGGCCCCGGGCAGCTGAGGCCCCTGGAGGAGACAGGCTGTCTGGAGAGGGGCTGGCTGTCCCCTGTTCTCACCAAGGTGGGCCGCGGCGGTCTAGGGGAAGCCTTGGGGGCATCAGCTCTGCCAGAGGGCCCACTGGCATTGGGCTGGTAGCTGAAGGGCCTGGTAGAGGTGGCCACCAGGGAGGGCAGGCTTTCCCGCACTCAGCCCTCTGGGGTCACAGGGCGGGGAAGGCGAGAGGAGGGAGGGGAGGGAAGGGGCTGCTTGGCCAAGAGCCTTCCCGCTCACCCAGCCGTTTCAGCGTTTAGGGCCGGCGCGCGCTGCCTCACAGACCCTGCTCTATCTCACAGAGAGCGGGCTGTGAACCGGGGCTGGACAGCGGCCACCAAGCCCCTCCTCTGTCCACCCGCACAGTGGACGTGCACCCATGACTCACTCTCTGGGGGTCAGCGCCACCCTCTTGTTTGATAGGTCTTAGAACAATTTACACAAATCCCTCTTTGTCTGCTCTGTGTTACCTACAAACCTGGGAAACTGAAAAACCCAACTTGTAAAAAAGGCCTAGTTACGCTAACTCCAGCCCACCCAGGGCTGGTCTAGTCCCCAAGGCCAAATGCCGCCTGGCCCACTCCTGAGCCCAACCTCGTGGGAAGGGGCCCTCACTTGCGCCGACCATGCCGAGCCCCCCAAAGCTGGCCCCATACCATCACACCCAGCCCCAGACACCCAAGCTCCCCCTGCTCAAACCCCAGCCCTGGAGGTCAGGTCCCCGCCTCGCCTGGCAGCCCCCTAGTGCCAGCATCTCTCACCCCAGCAGCCTCCACGGCCAGGGGCGAGCCCAGTGCCCATCCAGAGACCCACCCAAGGCCGGGAGAGATGCTGTCTTCATCTCCGGGACGAGGCTGACGGGGACGCCGACTGGCTTAATTTGTGCACAAGACTCAGTGTTGATTTCTCTAAAGTATTGGAACAGTTTCATCCTGTGGGGAATTTTGTCACTTTTGGTAAATGGGAAAAGCGCACCTAGTACACACCACATACGATACCCTTCACTTGTCGCTGGGACCCTGTGAAGTGGGGAGGGCCGACCGCTCCAGGCCAGGCAACTGGGCCTTGGCCGCGCAGAGACCACAAATGAGGCGAGCACCAAACAAGGACACCAAGGAGTCGGGTGGAGCAATGCGAGGCACGTGCAGTCAGGGCATGTCACACACTCAAGTCCTCCAGGAGGCTGCTTTCCAGCAAGTCCCGGCACACAAGAGGGGACTGTGCACAGAACAGAGGCCAAAGGCATCCAACCCCATTACCACTATCAAGCCACAGGAGGAAGCTTCTGCCGTGTCACGTCCTCATTCCAGGGGACGGTGCCAGCTACTGAAGCCATGTCCTACGGGCTCCCCGGGAGGAGGCCAGGAGGGCCTACCGTCTCCCACAGGAGCATCTGGGAGGGGCTGTTGGAGAAGCCTCCTCCAAGGGTCGGACGCTTCCAGGAGCGCTGCCAGGTGGCCCATCCGCAGCAGGATGTCAGCCCAGGGGAGGGAAAGAATTGTTTTTTACCAGACTAAGATGTCGCTTATCCTAAGTTTGTTGATATTGTCCGTACTTTCAGTGAAGGGGGAGGAAGTCGCAGGGATGTCCCTGTTGGTAATCCCTGGCCTCAGAAAAGCCACCTGAGGCCAGGTAGGGACTGCCAGGCGCCCTCCCTCCTCTGGGCTCCAAGACAGAACTGGAGCAAGGCCTGGAGGAGGCTGGGGACACCTTCGAGGGAACAGTGGTTCCACAGCACCTGCAGGAAGTTCTTCCTCTATGAGTGGGGACACACGACTCCTTAACGGGCAGAACCGATGATGCCGATTCGCCCTCAAAGCAATCCCAGGGGAGTGAAGGAAGGAAAGCAGATGAAGACAACTGGGGGTTTTGACTGCTAAAGGGCGTGGCAGGTGCTTGGAACCAACGAGGTCACTTATGGAAGCATGGGGACGGTGTGCAGGAGGGCACTTCCAGCAGGCACTGGGGCGAAGGCACACCCAGGCAGATGGCAGCACCAGAGACATGGTGGGCCACTGGGCACCAACCCAGCCGTCCCCGCGCCACCATCGGGGGAGCCCAGAGGCAGGCAGTCTGAGGTGCGCAGCCCAGCTGGCCAATTGTGGGCGCGTCTTTTGGATGAGTGGCACAGATGCGGTGGTTCACACACATTGGTTTTGCCTAAGAAGCACCCGTCACGTGTAGCACCCATCAGTGGTAAGAGCACCCATGAAGCGTGGTGCATAGCAAAGGGGCACAGGAGGCAGGGCTCCGGCTTCTAATCACAGTTGGACCATTGAGAGAAGGTAAACAGTGAGTTGAGAAAATGCCATCTGGGTAGGCGCAGGCTGGGACGACGGAACCCGGGACCACCTTTCTCAAGAGAGTGGTGGTTCCAGAATGCCTGTCAGTCAGCCTGGGCTGGCCCCCCAGAGCGGCGGTCTCTGGAATGCTCAGAGGGCTCTGCTTCGAGTGGTGTGGGCTCCCACAGCCCAGGTGGGGACAGAGAGACACACTCCTGCCTCGGGGCTGGGACCAAGCCAGCGCAGGGACTAGGCGGCTCGCTTTTGGGGCCTAGAGATTTGGAATCTGATAACTAAGCAGTGGAGGCTCCCAAAGCTGACGATGGAGCCTGGGTACCTCAGCAGGTATGGAACTGTCTGAGGACCTCGAAGAGGCAAAGATCTAGTAGTCGAGAGAAAAGTCTGGTTGAACTATCACTTTCTAGAATTACAGTGAACACAAAGCTAGGGTCGAGAAGCAGCATGTCACATCTAAGGCACATGTACAGTATGCCACCATCTCTATGCAAAGATGTCGCTTTTGGAGATTGTTAACAAAATGCAGCAACATGACAGAATGAAGAAACACATCTGCTGTGGCCTCCTTCAGCACAATCACCTGCCCACCCCGGACACTGGGCACTGAAGGTCGCTGCTGTCAGCAATAGAGAGCTTGTCTGAACACATGGGGCAGAATTTTAAAAACCTACAGGATTTTGTTTAGAACTCCAAAGTTCAACTAATGCCCTATTTTAGGGTGAAAACAATTATAAATCTGAAAATGATGCACAGCATCCATGAGCAATTTTCCTTTCATAATAATTTTGAAGTAGTGTCATTAACTACGACAGATATTGAAGGTTTACATTTCTAACGAGAAATAACAACAGATTGAATATTCTCTTTCCTATCACAAGTGATAACCAGTGTTAGATATTTTACATTTTCTTCCAAGAAATATCAGTCTATCAACGTTTTAAAATAAAATGCTTGCAGTAATAATTATTTTAGAACTTTAAATTAAAAAATGATTCTGAATTTAGAGACTTTCAAAAAAGACCTAAGTGTACTGCAGGGTCTTCTGACAAACAAATTATTAAAACAGAGACCAGATGAGGCCTTAAAAATAGACAATATACTATATTTGAAACAAGATTGCACTCTTGAATTTTAGAATGAATATATCAGAACTGCATTATTAATTCATAAATTCCTCTTTTACTTAACATGCTGACATGTCCAGCTACCCCAGGTGTGTGTGTGTGTGTGTGTGTTTTCTTTTTTTGGTGTTCAAGTTTAAGGAAGAAAAATCATGGTTCTTTGTTCAGCATATATGTTTTCCATCTTAATTAACTAGATCTTTAAAAATAAAAATGGAAACCTTCTCTGACAGCAGTATTTCTCTTGTTGAAGGATAAATAATTTTTCAGAGTGCAGTAGTACTAGTCTATAGAAAACATGTCAGGTCTATCCTCACGCGTGGCTCCTCCCGCCGGCCCGCGGCCGCCTTCTGCCGCTTCCTCCGTTCCACAAGGTCCTTTTCTGAGCGCGAGGACCTCGGTGGAGACAGCCGGTTCAAACCCCCCAGAGGAGTTGCCTTCTGCTCAATCCACCTCCCCAGTGACTCGTCAGGGGTCAGGCAGATCCGAAGTATCCACTATGACTTTAATAAAAATGGTATCATCTTTAATATATGTCCCATTTTCTAGCACAGTTTGGGCCACAAAGACTGGGCAGCCAGAGGCAATATTCATCTCCCCGGTGGGTTTCTTGAAGCTGCTGCTGTTGGGGTCTGGCTTGAACGCGTCTCCCAAGTGACGGCGAGAGGAGCCCTGATCCATCAGCATGAGGGTCACTTTTTGCTTGAACGGCCAAGGAAGCAGTGCATCATATTCTCCACGCATAATGACAAAAAACAGCGACAAATGCGTCCCCTTCCCCATCCCGTCCCCGTTCAGGTAGACTCTGGCACACATCTTATAGCCAAAATAGCCGGTGTAGAAAGGCTGGCTGTAAAGGGACAGGGTCTTCCCCATGACAGCTTCCTGCTTCCGCCGCTTATAATCTCGGATCTTCCAAATCAGCACGCCATTGTAGCTGGCGGTCTCCAGGACCTGAAATCGCAGGTCCATGTCAGCCAGGCGGATGTCGTGAACACTCAGCATCTGGTCGTGCCGGCTCAGCTGGGACTCCAGCAAGCCTAGCGCAGGCGAGGAGAGACGGGGTGAGGGAGACACGTGAATACCTGAAAGGCTGGAGAAGCTGATCCCCACCAGCATTTGAATTAAGCAACATAAAACCACTGTGGCTATCGGGTAGAGGACACATGCCATGTAGATGTCCTGAAAAAGGCCTCAGATCCGATCCTATACCACGTGGGCCCCCAACACCCATAGCCACGGTTTGCTGAGATGCAACACCCTGAGGGACACATCCCACGTTGTCCCCTTGGAGCATAGCTGGGGGCAGGGGATGGCTGTCCTCTTGCTGACATCCCCCTGCTCTCCAGCCTCGATGATCAGTCACCTGTGCCCTGAGTTGAAGATGCTCCTCTGTCCACTCCACTCCACGTCCTCTGCCTGCTTAATCCAACCCCACGTGAGTCAAGATAATCCCTGTTCCTGTCACCGTTAACCCTTTTCATGCAAATATGCAGAATATTCATTCAGTCCCCAAAGTAGCAAGCCCCAGGATGCTTCTAGGTATCAGAAACACGCTGGCTGAATATGCTGGGTCTTCTGCCTCACCTATGTGTCACCTTCTGTGCCCTGAGCCTTCACAAGCTGGGCCGAGAACACTCTAACCATCAGACCTACTCTCTACCTGGCGTCCACCGCAAGCCCACTCTCTACCACACAGGCCTCACACGGAAGGGACAAGACTAAGTGGGAAATGCTTTCGTCTCTGCCAAAGACATCTCAGCAGGAGAAGCATCACACCTCTGCATGCGTGTCATCTGTACTGGAAAGCTCCGCTCTAAGGCAGCAGGTGCCTAATGGACCACTTACCCCATCAAGTCAAGCCACAGCAGTTACCTGGGGTCCCAGGACTTGGCCAAGAGTAGTCCAAGACACATGTCACCTGACCCAGGTCCCTCCCAGACCTGTCCCTGCTCCTGTCCCACCCACCCTCACCTGTGTTCCGAGCTGCCTGCCCTGCACTTTTGTCCACACTTTCCAGCTCTGTCACGCGGTTCTGGAGGGACTCCACGCTGCTTTTCATGCTGTCAGCTTCTTCCCAGTTCTGCCTGAAGGGACGGATCTCTTTGTCGAGCTCTTTCAGTTTCTCTGCTTGGCTGTCTATTACTCGCTTCCAAACCAAAGGCATCAAAAAGGCAAAACACAGTTAGAACTCTCGGAAAACACTGGGCCACCACCACCAAACACCAGCCAGTTAGGAACAGAGCAATCAGCTGAGAGCCGGTCTGGACGAGACCAGCTCAGAAGCCCCATGCCAGCTCTACAACAGGGCATTTTGTCTAATGCCCACAATGTATCTCAGGGGACATAGGTACCAAGAGTCCCTACTTCCCAGAGGAGGGACTGAGGCACAGAGAGGCCTCACCCTGCCAAGTGCAGGGCAGGCAGCCCCCCATCACTCTGTCCTAGGGTCTCGAGTTCAGGATGTTGGAATCACATCCATTGGCTCTGTCTGAAGGCCTCCATCTCCTAAAGGGCTGAGCCATCAGCAGTGGCGAAACGACATGGGCCTCCTACCTGGCTGCCCGCCCCCCAACCAGGGCTGGAGAGGCCGCTGTCTCTGTGGCTGTGGAGAGCACCCCAGAACCCTCTCTGGGACCCAGGAGAGAGAGCTGCTACCACCCTGCCACCTGCTCCAGTGATCTGACCGTCTGCACGGGTTTGGCAGCAGGAAAGGGCCCTGGTGGCAGGTCTTCAGACTCTGGGTGAAACCAAGGGCCCTGACGCCTATGAGAGGGGGGCTTTGCCTCCTCCACCTGCTCAATGCCCAGCACCCCGTGTCCACTGGGGCACAGAAATACTGCTGATGAACATGTGGTTGTTGACGGCGAGCTTTGACTTTATGCTATCTTAATTTAAATAATTCAAAAAACCTTTTTTCCAGAAACACACAGACCATTTTACATTTATAACAGTAACTGGAGGGACGAGGTGCGTGCCCCAGCTAGGGTGCCCGGTCTGCTTTAAAGGACAGGTGTGCTCATCTGTTAGAGGAAGCTGGAGACCTAAAGGGTTTTTACTTTCAAAAAGAATTTGCATGTTTGAAAGAAAGCTCATGAGTCTGGGTAGTCTAGTCCCCAGTGAAGCTATGGAGTGACGGGGCCGCCTCTGAAGCTGCGGCCACACAGGGGAGAGCCCCGGGGACCTGCTGCGTTCACTTCTCCTTCTGGAAGCCTATTTTTAAACATTTACATTTCAGCACCTTTGCTGGCTGTTAATAACCATGAAGGAACAAACATGGTAGGTTTGGGTTACTTATTTGGGGTAAAAGCACAGTGTTATTCTTCCTCTTCTTTCCAAGAAACCTCGATATTAGGTAACATTTAAAAAGTGAAAATGACTTCTCTAAAGAATACTTTTCTGCTCTGATGTCACTTTATTTTTAAATATATATGGCTAGAGGCATATTTAAGTAGTTCACAAAGCCTATTCTCTGGGGACAATACTATTGACCTTAATGAACATCCAAATCCATGACATAATTCTCATGAGTGTCTGTTAATTGTGCTCACGTACTCTACCTACTAAAACTGTAAGCTAAGCTAATGTGGATACCAATGAGTAAAACAGGGAAGTTAATGAAAATGGAAATAATCAATGACAGTTCTGAGAGATGCCATTTTGTGACCTGATGGAGCCAGGAGTAAACCATGAGTTGCAGGATGGCCCAGGACAAGCCACTCATCACGCGTGGGCCTCATGCCCCTGAGGCAAAAAAAGGGATGACGCTGCGCTGCCTCCTCTCCAAGACTGTGACGTGCACGGGACGGTGGCAGGAAGGCACACGGTGATCTCAAGAACGGAACTGCGGAGTCTGAAATGAGGGCCACTGTCCTGGCAGCAAGGCCCCTGACTACAACCCAGTAACACAGTCGGCACACGGTGCAGGGGCAGGAGGGAGCACACGTGCACACGGGAGCACATGCACACACACACGCACACACAGACAAGGCTCAACCAAATTACTTAACGGAGCTCCACGCACAGCAAGGGAAAATACGCTATTTTTAGACTTTTCAAAATTTGTATAAATGATATGGTTTCAAAGCAGAATGCCAATCTAAATCAAGTTTTCTCTGTAAAGTGCAGCAAACAGGATTTCATTCTTGGCGAGCAATCTTTACTCAGCCACCGAAGTGTTTCTATAAAAATCAATCTTAAATGCAGGTGTGGGATTTTATTAGAAAAAAGAACTCAGGAGCTGAGATAAATGGCAGAGATTTCACACTACATACATAAATCCTAATCAAAAGATGTGCTTTCAGAGAGCACCAATTTATTAGTCTCATGCACTGTGCACTTTAGGGCTTAAACCACCATCTCTCTGTCACTTCTTACCATTTGGGCCACAGGGACCTGGGGACCAATCATTGTCCAATGAGACAATGCAGGTGGTGCTCATGGGCCGAGCTAAGGGGCCACATGGACGGAGCGCTGCTGGTCCTTCCGTTTCAGCCCCGCGCTGCTCCACTTCCGTCCCGCAGACCCACTGACTGAGAGAGTGACCAGTTCATAGAGTTCCTGCTAACAACAGGAACGTGGGAATTAAACTAACAGCTAGGCTGTATTTTTAATTAGGGAAAACAGGTTGTTTAAAAAGTAAAATATTAAGAAACTACCCTTCCTGGGCCAGCAAAAGCAAACACTCCTAAATTCCACTCCCTTTAACCAACTGATTGCATCCCTGTCCACCTTGTCCAGGGCCATCAGGAAGTCTGCGCTCCAATTTTAGGGTCTACTGGAGAATCAGACAAGGAAGAAGACAACAGATCAACACGTCTGTCACCACCAAGGTGGACCAATGCAGGGGCTGAGGGAGCACCGAGGATGGCAGGGGTGGGAGAAGACTTCCCAGAGGAGAAGGTGTTTACACTAACATCTCAGGCATCTGAGGAGGAGCCAGAGTCAGGAAAGGAAGGCAAGGGGAGAGAAGGTCCCTTACCCTCTGGAGGACATGGCAAAATTGGAAAGGTGTAACAGTGCTCAGTCATATAAGGCTTTCTGGGCCACAGTACAGTGTTTAAGATAAATTCTTTTCCAGGCAATTGGGAGGGTTCCAGGGTGAGGAATGAAAAATAAGAGGTGCATGTCTGACCCAGGCTCTGGGTGAAGAGGTGGAGAAGAGTCTGGAAGAAGTGGAGAGAAAGTGCCTCTTGGCCGAATGTGTCTCATGTACAGCCAACATCCCCAGGCATCCTGTCCACAGAGGTTTTCAATCAATGTTTTCAGAAACACTGACAGTCCAGAATTTCTCTTGTCACCAGCCAAATGTTGCCAACTCCACAGTGATATCAAAGGTAAAACTAAATCTCACCTTTCATAAAATCATCCAGTTGGATGCAGTTCTACGCAAACCACTCTACTGAAATGGTAAGCACCCTGAGGAGTTCTCAGCACCTCTCAGTCTCTTGTTCCTGCACTTAAGGAAATCAGGAGTTGAGCATCCAGTCTGATCGGAGGCCCTTTCTTTAAACACAGCCTATTTTCCTCCATGCTCTTCTTTCTGTGGAGGAGAGGACTGGCGGGTCAGCACCCTCCTACTTATCACCAGTCAAGGAGAGCCTGACAGTGGTGGGTGGCTGCTCCCTCTCCACCTCTCTGGGCTCCCGGACTTTGGCTCCTTGCTTTCTTTCTGACTTAGGTCTTGTTGATTTATTCAATCACAAAAGCTTTAAGACATAAATCAGAAACAGCGGAATGACTAAACTTTACTAAAAAGTAAATTAAAGTGAATTCAAACTTTTCATATTGGAAGAGGGGGAAATGGAGAAGACGAATGCATATAAAATCTCTGAGGTTTCGGCTAAGTGCTTCTATGACTTCCTTATGTATATTCTAATTTTTTGTTGTTATAAATGATGTTATAAGTGAACTCACCACTTATTCATTTCTTCTTCTATTGCTGATATTTTTAACAAGTGGTTTTCTAGCATAACACTAACTTCTTTGGCCTTTCATGGCACCTCTCTGAGGCCCAAGTCACACACGGCAGCTACGTTTCCAAGAGCTAGAAATGCTCACCAGACAGCGCAGGTGAGCGGAGCCACCTGAGTGGAGATAGGTCTCTGTCTGGACATTCTGACCCACACCTCCATGGGCACTCAGCAAATTGCAGGTGATGCCCAGCAGAAGGTTTGTGGGTGTTTTAGCTAACACTACTTTTTTGGTTTGATTCAATACTAACGACTTGTATCTTTTCTAATGTAATCTAATGTTTTATTGTGCTTTTCCTTGTCCCTGGACAACCACAAAGTTTAATACAAATGAAACAAATTTAATAAATCCGTATGCAATTCAAGGCACTATGACTAATCTCTGATGTTAAAATGGGAGGACAGGCATTCCCAAAGATGCTGTGACTCTGAGCTATGAGACATATTTTCTCTTCCAGATAATTTAGGGAAACACACCCTAAGTGTAAGCACTGAAAAACCATTTTGGCAACGTGTTAGTGATTCTTTCACGGGTGTGTGTGATACACAGGAATTACTATAATGAATGTACACTATGAGCAAGCTAATGTGTAGATAGTACTTACAAAAATAAGACGCTAACAAGTGCCTAATGGAGACCTGTGCTGATAACGGAAACGAGGAGCAGCATTTTAATGAGGCCTATTTATACAATCACCTTTTTCAGAGCAGCAAAGTCTACGAGTTTGTTTTGGAGGCATCTTTGGATCACTATGGTGAAAAAAGTGGGGTGAGTATGTGTGTCACACAAAAATTCACAACAAAATAGTTTGGCTTCATTTCACTTTAGGAAGTGAAACTTTACACATGAACATATGAACAATATGAAATAATAAAAACAGCTAATTTTTAAAAACCCAGACCATAAGTCTTATTTCACCACCAGTGACTCAAAGGCACAGAAAGCGGTGATGGAGCTGGCTCTCGAGGGCAAAGGTGGGGAGGGCCCCCAGGCCGGGCCCACGCTACCCAGGCTGCCTTTCCCGAGTCCACTTAAGCAAGAGAAACAAGTTGCCTCTGTCCGAGAAAGGTCAGGGTTTCCGCTCAAGCATCTCACTGAGAAAGTCCTGAAGGAGAACACAAATGCGTCCCTCTGCCCTTTGGTCCAGCCATAGTCTTAAGATTCTTACCTGTAAATGAAGTATTTTGGATTCATTATTTCGAAGCATTTCCTTTTGTCTCTCAATTTCAATTTCAAAGCTACATATCTGATTGTGCAAACTTTGTATGCTCTTGTTTTTTTCTACACTTTCATTCTGCAGCAAGGAAACCTGAAAAAGAAATTCTTCAATTGAGCAATTTTGCAAAAAGGAGGTTTTAGTATTGATTAATAATAATTAAGATAGCAATTAAATTTTCACAACATAAGCCTTCTGTTAGCTCACTGGAAGGAGTTTACCCAGGGAATGGAAGCCCTGGTAATCTAGCAGGGAATCCTACAAACTGCATCTCTCTCATCTCTCGTAGTAATTCAATGAGGCAAAGTGCAACAGCTGACTGAACTTCAGAATGAATGCGAACCTTTTTAAGTTTTTGCTGAAAACTAATAAATCTTTTACCAGAGTGGCTTTTGAACTTTGACCAGGAAGCATAGCAGGATACACATACTTACATTTCATCCCATTTGTACCTACATTTGTGTGTGGTCTGTGTACATAAAATAGGTATCACAAAACCATAGTACAACACAAAGGTATTACAATACACCCTGATATTTTCTATTTTATTTTGTTTTACTTTAAAAAATGGTAGTCACAACCCACTAAATTATTTCACATCCACCAATGGGCCATCTCTCACACTTTGAAAATCTCTTCCAACACAATTAGAAAGCATGGGGAGAATAAAAAATTACACATGTGCTTCACTTAATCCTCACGCCAACCTATAACCCTCAAACAGAGAGATGGCGCTGCAGAGTGGGTGTGCCAGGCCTGCCACCTGAGGAGACCTTCCACAAAGCTTGTGTTCAACCCCTCCTCAGTCCAAGGAAGGGCCTGCTGGGGGAGCAGTTCCAAGCCCACCTTTGACCTTTTAAAAATATTTTTCTGAAAAACAGTTAGCTCCCAAGAACCAATTTACACTGGTCTTAAAAGCCCCTGGGGTGAGGAGTTCAAGGGCAACTCCTACAGGCCTTCCTTCTCACGAGATTCCACAAGGGGCATTTCGGAAAGGCTCCCTCCACCAATGATGTCCCTGTCTATGCATGGCTGCAGCTGCCACCCTCAAGATGGAGAGCTCCATGATGGACTGAATGTGCCTCTCTAATAACACTAACACCTGAGGACCATGATGACGTTCACTGAGGTGAGGTGATGGTTACTGCGGTGACGGCCCAAAGGCATCTCAGGACAAAACCAGGTGTGACAAAGAACTGATTCTTGATGATGTCCCTTTAAAGAAGAACCAGCTTAAAGATAGGCATCCTTTCTATATTCAGTCTGTTCAGGCAAGCAGTGCCTTTGGATACAATCACAGTCTGTTTCATTTTAGAACATGCATTTACTAAGGAATACAAAACTTGCAATGTCTCCCGGGCAAAATGATACTTTACTTTCCTGGGATTTTACTCAGTATAAATGGACTTTTCTTCCTAAAATATGATGTCTTAAATGCCCATGGGCTCCTGCAAGTGATCAACTGGCACCAATCCAGGTCAAGACACACGCAGCATCACAGCAGTGTTCCTGACTTTTCTAAAGTTACAATTCACTCATTCCCATCTGTCAAAGTTGGGCATAATTCCCAGACTCTACTCTCATGCCCAAAAAAGAGAGATCATGTAAGCATCCCAACTCTTTTGATAAAAATTCCAGTAATATCTCCAAAATCTAGCATTTTTTTCCTGCAACATATTAAGCTATTTGAGGGTGAGCAGCAGTATCTCACATTGATGAAAACACATCATGCCATATCAAACTCTTAATTTCTTTATTTAGGGACTTCCCTTATTTAAACTTACTTTTATTTATTTATACACTTTAACCAGAGAACTCAACGCCGAGCACCTGTAGGTGCCTGCTTTCACTCGTCTATTAGGCAGGCGTCACGTGCACGGGAAGTCCACTGGGCAGGCGTGTTTCCAGAAGCACGGAGTAACACCCACATAGCAGACGCAGACGGGGCCTCCTCGTCCTTCCCCAAGGCGCTCCTCACTGAGCACATCCTGCACCCCAGCCTGTTTTGGTGGGAGCTCTAAATCTCCCTTTGATTTAAGCTTTCCTAAAATACGATGGGTGCTTTGAAGTTCAGATTTTACCAAACAGTTTTCTTTAGTATGACCATCGGAGAATGTGATGATCAGTCTTTCTGAACCAGTTCAAATATTCTATTTTCTATTACAGATGAACAAAATAACCTACGAGATTCCAAGCGAATAATTCTATAATGAGAAATACATTCCCATTTTAAGAAAATACAAATATTTCCATTCTTTGTCCAGTCTTTGCTTTTGGGCCCAGTGGGGAGACAGACAGGCACCTTCTAATGAACACAAACAAGAATGCACAGAGCTGAGGCCTGGCAGACCTGCATGGCTCCGTGGGGGGCGTTGAGGGAGGGTCATTCTCATGGACAGAATCAGGGAGAGACTAATCCTTGAGCAACACCCAGGAGAGCAAATATTTCAAATCTGTCAATGGCAATGCATGGCAACACAGCCCATCCTTGCAGGAGTTCAGTATGGCTGGGCTGGTGATAGTTTACACACACATGAGGAATTCACAGAGTGAGAAGCTGCTGTGGACCATGTGCAGGCAGGCCACTCTGGTATGTCCCAGTGTGTCCAATGATGTAACCCATTCACTTTGAGTGAAGAAAGCATGACCAAGTGGGAGGGTAGGAGAAGAGCATAACTGACGGGATAAACCTCCACACGCGTCTCACAATCTCATCCCTGGGAGCCAACTTAGTGACAGCACCTTCCATAACCGTCCCACTGGACAACCACACACTTGAGACCCGCTAAACTGTTACATAACTAGTACAGCTGAAACAAAACCAATTCATTTTAAATGAAAGGAAGAACCTTTTAAATAAATGAGAAACACAGGATCTATGACAGACAAAAAGCCCTGAGATCCATGCCAATAATTTTCAAAGAGGCAGAAACAGAATAAATTCTTCAAAAAGACGGTTGGAAAAAAAGATTAATAGGTAAACCTTCACTGAACTTAGAGCAAATACTATGTGTTCATGGAAAAATCATGAATGATTTATCTAATACAAATTTCGTTTTACCGTGAAACAGAAGCTGCCTTCTGTTCCACTTGTGTATGTACATACAACATACCAATCCTAACATTGCTTATCTCCAGCTTAAGCATTTATATTAAAAAACTATTTTATGTCAGATTTAATAGAAATGTTTTGATTTAAACTTTCAGATTCTTTCAAGTACATCTACATTTTAAATTGCTTGGATTTCACACTTAAGATAGTCAAATATTTGGAAAACAAACATCATTCCACCGGCTGCTCTAATCCATCTTAGTACACCCCCACTGTAAGTTCTCAATAAATATTTGTTGAACATCAAATTAAGTTTTGATTTTTGTAAATAAGCCACAATGAGAGATCCTGTAACAACAACTTCTCTATCAATTCTTAGAGGTTTTCATCCTTTCCTCACAAAAAGAAGGCCTTGCTGAGTTGAACACCACACAACCAACTCTCCCAGGAAGAAGTATTATATCAGGAAGGTGCTTGCTAAGGAGTCACAGCCCCATCACTGAGGCCTCTTGAGGAGAAGCCTAGGAAGAGAACGCGCGTGTCTGGGAAGTGGACTTGCTCCATCCACCACACTTCCATAAAGTGTCAGCCGAGAAAATCAACAGTAATGCTAGTGATAAAGGAATGACTTTTCCCTACTTGTCTATTAGAAAAGACAAAGAACGATAAAGCGTCTCACACTTGTAACCTTCTAAATCAGGGGTTGGCAAACTTTTTCTGTAAAGAGCCAGAGAATAAATATTTTGGGCTCTGTGGTCTCCTCAACTCTGCTGTTGTAATGCAAAAGCAGCTGTGGACAAATTGGAATTGAATGAGTGTGGCTGTGTTCCAATAAAACTTGATTTATAAAAACAAAGGGTTGGGGAAATAAAACCAAAGCCAGAAAAAACAGGGTTGGGGCAGAGAAGGGGAGGTCTGGAAATCTGACAATCCTTGTTCTAGCTCAATGCTAAAATAACCACAATGTGATTAAAAAAAAAAAAAGTACTGCACACTTGCCTGGCAATTCAAAAACAAAGAACAAAAAAACAAAAACAAACACCTTCATTTATAAAGCTCAAGATCATGTGAAGAGAACTTACTTTTCTGACACTATCTTGATATGCTGTTTCTTTGATCCAAAAACTATAATAAGTATAAAAAAGGTTTTGTTCTTTAAATAATTTGAAATCATTAAAACCAACAAAAGCAGGAAATGGTGTGGCGTACCTTTTTCTCTAGGGAATTGCTCCACTCTTTCAGTAAGTTGACATGCTGCACCGCGGAGCTGGCCTCGTGGGCCTTAATCTGCTGGTTTGTCCCCTGTGAGAACAAAGATGCAATGCATTAAGCCAACTTCTCTCCACTAGAGAGGAAAGACTAACAGATGATCTAAAACCAGCACTAAACACGAAGAGGGGAGACTTGCTCATGTGAAGCTAAGAGGGAATCTCCACGCCTTAGAAGGGTCATGCTCAGGGGCCCCTACCCTACTGTGTGCAGGTGAGGAGGCTGGCGAGGACAGAGCAGCTCAAAGACAGGACACTGAAGTTCTACAAGAAAAATCTCAAGTTCATGCTCTTCATTCCTCAAGCTTCTCATCAAGTGCCTTCTTATCTGTGTTTCATACTTGTAACAGTTAGAAATTAAGTTTTAGACATATTTTTGTTCCTTTATAATTTTTTTCATTAAAAATATAAATGGAAAATGTTTAGACATCTGCAGATACAGCTACATACTGTTACAATAATCTAGTTACCATGTAATCAAAGTAGGATTCTAAATAATTTACTTAAATAATGACTTAGTGAAATACACTGTATCAGAAAATGTATTGTTCCTCACTATTCTAAGTATACTTAGAAAGTTACATACAAAACATAAACAATCTACAGAGTACATAAGATGTAGACCATTTCAGAGTTGGTAATAAGCACATGAAATAGTACTTCATATATTTAAGGAAATAATTGGTATGAAAGCATAATTTGTTTTGATATTGGAAAATTAAGAAGCCACAGAAAGCATTTTAATGATCTCCAAAACATATACTCTGTACATAGAATATTCATATATATATGTTGATATAAGTGGTGCTATATAAAAACATATATATACACATACACAGAATGAATGGTACTACATACGACATAACGGTGGTGAGGGCTCAGGCTCATTAGAGACCAAAGCCAAGGGAATGCTATCAGTCATTCTCACTCTTAGGCTTTCTATTTTCTAAGAAAATACTAAGATGACAGTATCTCTGTACTGATTTCATAAAAATGTATTGATAATACATAAAATTAAATATAAAATACTTTAATTGTAATACATACTGCCCTTTGACAGTTTTAAGATCAAGATATATATTTAAATGAAAACTCAGTTCAAAATCACTAGCAATCTCAGACGTGTTAAAAAAAATAACAATAAGCTAGAAATAGGTTTCTCACAGCATAGGTGTGGCAGTGACAGAGACGTCTTCTCCACACTGTTCTTCTAGGAGGTGTGGCATGTAGATAAAATGTATTCATGGACACAGGTGTGTGATCCTCACGACTGTGTACAATGTGCACGCTGCTAAAACCACATTCAGTTTGATACTTACTTATATTCAAGTAACAATTTCCATAACAGTCTATCTAGAAACCCCACCATATGTCAGTCCTATTTGTCCCATTTACTAGCTGGTTTTAGATGTTGTAGGTCTCTTAATGTACTGACTCCCTTCTCAGCATAAGTGTCTATCTGATGTCTCGAAACACCACTGGAATGGAAAGCGAGCACCCACATCTGCTACATGCGGCTTTTGTCACCCATGCAACAGGGTGATTCGGTTCCATGACAAAGACTAAAAGTCCAGAACTTGCATGTTAAAATGTTAATATAATAACTTTTTCTCATGGCAGAATGTCAGTGACTGGGAAGGACAAATGTCGGATACTGACCTGAAAAATGCAGCCATAGCGCTTAAAACTACAGGTGCTGGGGGCATTGACACACTCTGACAAGTGTGCACTCAACTGCAACGGGAAAGAGACGTGAGTTGTGGCACAAACGTTTGCATGAAAATGTTCAAACATATTAAGGGCACAGATAGCATCTGGGTTGTACTATTACGAATGGTGTTTATCAGCTACAGGTGTGTATATATCATCTGCTTCCTAGACTTATATGCAGTAAATATACGGTATCATCACGTGTATACACATATATACACCAATATACAGAAATACATTTACTATAACATTTCTTAAATTTGCAGCTTCTTTAGAACAAATTGTTCAAAATGTGACATGCCATCTGCAGTGCCAGAATTTAAAAAAGAAAGGAAAAAAAAACATAAACTGAAATGCACATTTAAAGACTATAAACAAAAATTGCATGAAACACAAAAAATAGAAAGCATTCAGGATGCAACTGGGTCACACACCTAATATACAGTGCACAAAAATAAATATATTTTCAAAGCAAGCTTACACGATGTACCATTACTCTCAATACTTAAGATAACTGGAGATGAGTTTTTCCTTCTGAAAGACTTTTTTCCCCTCTGTATGGCCATAAATTCATGTAGCTTCTTAAAGACCTCTAAGGTCATTCTAACAACATGAAGCTTAACATTGTCATCTCTAATTGACAAAAGAAAATTAAGAGGGATTGGGAAAGGATAACTCATCTTGCAAGGAAAAACCCCTTTGTTCAGCTTAAATGCTAGCATATCATCAAATAAAAACCACTTATAATGCCGCCTCAAGAGAAAAGGGAATTGAAATGTCTACATTTTAAAAACAGTGTTATGCATTAGGCTAATATAATTTAAGGATACTCTCTTCTTTAGTGAAGAAGTTCTCATCAGAAAACTCCAGGGATAGATCTTATATACAGAAGACAATCAGACCCTGAATTAGGAAAGTGGGTGTGTGAGCACAGTGCACAGTGACCCTGGGAACAGGTTTTCCACGTGCCAGCCCACATGCACTCCCAGAGGCTCATGGGATGTGTCACTCTGGCAGGTGTAGTTAATTTCCACAATGTCTCCTCTGTCTACCAGGACAGAGTAGTAGGACAGAGGCAAGTGGATCACAGGACTGCTCGCGTCCTGCTGCAACTGCTAAAGAGGAGGGCTGAGGCCATGGGGTTGGCTTGAGAGACCCAGCTGACCACTGCCAAGGCCACCCTTGGTGGAAAGTCTCTGAGCCCGGCAGAGCCATGGTGGTCACAGATCTAGCAGCCTAGCACACTTGATGTTCCTCTGAACCCAGCCAGGAAGCTCTGGCTTACACCTGGAGGAAAGCACCCAATAGGTGTATTACAGGTGACAGGCACAGAAACGCAGCAGGAGACTATGCGCGCAGAAATTTCAACTTAAAAGTTTTAAAATACATTCTTTTAGTTCCATGAATATAGTCGTGGATCTAAACAGCTAATGCTCCTAACATTAAGATCGGGAAAATACTGAGTTTGACATTATTTTCAGTGCACTACTATAAATTTAGGGTCATACTTTTTCCTAAACTGGCTTTATTATCATTACTCTCAGTGCTCTACAGAATTTACAGGAGCTTTGGAACAGAAGCAAAAGCAATCTACAGACTAATAACACCTTTCACCAGAAACCCAAGATAATGCAAGTTTAAAGATTTTTTAAGATAAAAACAACGTAGAGGCAAAATGGAGGCAGCTTTTGTCCCTAATTCAGATAGCCCTGAGAGAGTAAAAATTTAGGAAAGTGTATAAAACCCTGGAAATTATTTCACCAGTCCAAACTCTTCATACATTCACTTTAACAGAGACTTTCTGGTTATGGAAATAATCTACATGCACTTCCCCACCACTCCTGGAGGCACGTTCAGGGCCCAGGGACCACTGTCACCAGCCAAGATCCTCCTGCTTCACCCAGCAGAGTCAACTTCCAGGGAGGACGTACCTCAGGTGAGAGTGGCTCTCGGGGGTCTTCTCAGCACCCTGTGTCCCTGGCCCTAGCCACACACAGGTCCTCTTGCTAAGTGGGGATGTGAGAGACTGACCCTGCCCTCCCCGATATACAGTGGTAAAATTCCAGAATGTTGAAAAAGGCTGAGGTGAGCAGACTCGTCAGATCAGAGCACCCAGGACAAAGGGCACCAGCTGGGAGACTGGGGGGCATGTGCACCACTGAGCCCACAGGTGCCCAGACAGCTCCCCGAATAGCAACCAAAGGGTCTCTAGGTGAGGATCGGATGCAAAAACATTAAGAATCCTGGGAATTTTTCCATCTGGATATATCCTGATCACATGAAGTTAATGCAAAATATACTTGCCTTAAAGAAAGTGTACCTGAGGACAGTTTAATACGCATGGCCTCTGGGAGGTTGCACAGGTGGCTTCCGGTAGCCCCTGAAATGTGGGAGCTGCCCCTGTGCCCACCTGCTCCCCAGCGCCATCTCCACACAGCATGCATGGCCAAAACAGCTCTTGAGTATCTCTAACTTAACTTATTTTCTTGAGATAACCTTACAGTAATTCCTGTTTTACAGATTTAAAAATAGGATTTTTTTAGAACCTTTTCAAAAAGTGTCACCTTTGCTTGCATTATAAAATAATCCCATTTTTCTCAATTCCTAATAATATTTTGTTCTGAATTTACCACTTTGTAGCATTTAATTGCTTGCTTCTGAAATTTCTGACTCCAAAAAATAGTATGGGGTTTTTCATTGTTTTTCTACTACACATATCACTACTGTGAACTGTGAAAACCTTTGACTTCAGCTATCAAGGGCAGAGTGGAGTCTCTTGGCACACTAGTCCTAGGACTGCACAAACGCCTGAAAAGGCCCTTACCTCGCTTCTCAGAAGGGTCTGCACACTGCACTTATGAGGGCAGGACACCACCACACAGGGACACTCAGTGTCTTCGTGTTTCTGGAGGAGAAAAAGAAAGCGTTGTCAACGTTGAAACATACAACCCGCCTTCCTTCAGATTCCACCAATGTCCCCACTGTCTCTATGTGAACTCAAAGGACACTCACATTACATTTGGATGAGACCTTACATTCAAATAGTTTGAGTGCCTCAAAATAAGGCATCTCAAAAGAGCTACTCAAATCTGACAAGTCAGGGCAACTTGTGGGAGCATGGTTGCCAGAGGTGGCGTGAACACAGTAGCTTCCCTGACACGCGTGCTCAGGTAGGCTTGGCCCTAACCAGCGTTCACGCCGCTGGCAGATGACAGGCCGGGACTCAGCCTGGTGTCCAGTCTTTGCTGGCTGGAGAGAAACACAGTTTTCCTTTGGCCTCTTAGTTTGGGGTCTGGAAATGACGTTTCTCAAATACCTGAAAACAGTGTGATCTACTCGGTATTTAAGTTACTGTCCCGAAATCTTATCTAAATTATCTTTAGGACATAGAAAACATTGATAAATTTTGGTATAACCCTTCTCCGGATGCGACAAATTTCAACTTTATAGAGCCTGGATGATGGCGAATGTTCAACCCAATGCCAGAGGCACCTAACGGGAACGTGTCCAGTGCACCTGTCCACAAGCAAAGCGAGGGCAATAACTCCCAAAACATCAAACCCAAGGGCCCTGGAGAGCACCATCAGACACATGACAAAGGGCCACTGGAGAGAGATTAACACAGGCAGAACCAGAGAGGTAACTGCATGCTACACAACACAACTCGTGGGAGGAGAGTCTCCTGTAGGAGGCAGCACTAAGCAAGAAGGAAACCTGTTTCCTCTGTGGCCCTGGGACTCTTCCAATTCCCCTAATCTGGTTTTTCAGATCCTGTCTGGGACTCCACAGCTACGCTGTTGTTCACTTGAACAACGAGGGGAGCACTCGCTGAGCACCTCAGTCTGCCTGGGCAGGTGTGGGCCAAGGACGGTGGCCTACCTCTGAGGAGGCCTGCAGCCAGGCACCAGTCAGCTTTCTTTGGTGTGTTTTTAAGTCTCTTGTCTCTAGGAGTGGGTGCACTGTGGGTCTGCAACAGCTCAGAGATAACACCTACAGCGCACAGCTGCTCTGCGCCTGGGCTTGGTCCTGAGGGCAAGTCCATTCAGAGCTCAGGAGAAGGCATTTGACTGGACTGAACCTGACCAGGAGGCTTCCCACAAGGGGGTACCACATAGGAGCACCAGCTTTCCATTCTACTTGGCTGTGCTCAAATTCCCTATGAGTTCTCGGGTTTCAAGGCTTTCTTTGCCTTGCAGTGGGAAACCTCGGACAAACGGCTTCACCTCCCTGCCTTACTTGTAAACGAGGGAGTGAACAGACCTCCCTTACAGGGGAGCTCTGAGGACTGAGTCAGTCACGGGCCTGGAGAGGAAGCTGGCAAACGCTCCAAAGATGCTACCCCTCCTCCCTGAACCTGCCCTTGATCCACCTTCATTCACCAGGCCAGGCATGCGCAGGGTGCTGGGGTGAGCCCGACAAGGACAGCTAGAAACACACACAAATAGACAATAACCACTGCGGCAAGGGGACAGGGAAGCTCAGGGCGCTGGCAGAGGTGATGGGGGTGCCCAGAGGGGGAGCTCTGCAGAAGAAGCAAGGGTAGGGGCAGTGGGAGGGCAGGGCAGGGGACTGTGGGAGGTGGGGCTGGGGGTCGGCAGGGCCAGACCAATCAAGATCTTTGTGTATCCTTGCAGATCTGTGCAAAAATATCTGAACAATAAGTTTCTAGAAGTAGGCTTTATAGGTATCAGAGGGTACAGGTATTTAAATGGGATTTTGATAGATATTACCAAGCTGCTTCCAATAACCCTACACAAACACACTCCCACTATCTTGAGAAAGCATGCTCCTGCACCCTTGTCAATTCTATCAAACTTTTCAATCTTTGACAATGTAAGAGGTGAAAAAGGCAATGAGTGTGATTTGCAATTCTTTTCTTTTTTTTGAGGACGATTAGCCCTGAGCTAACATCTGCCGCCAATCCTCCTCTTTTTGCTGAGGAAGACTGGTCCTGAGCTAATATCCATGCTCATCTTCCTCTACTTTATACATGGGATGCCTACTACAGCATGGCGTGCCAAGCAGTGCCATGTCTGCACCTGGGATCTGAACTGGCGAACCCCGGGCTGCCGAAGCAGAACGTGCGCACTTAACCGCTGCGCCATGGAGTCGGCCCCTGCAATTCTTTAATAATGTATGGTTAAGAATATTTTTGATATTTACTAATCATTTATATTTCCTGTGAATTGCCTTTTCATGGCTTTTGTCCACCATAGTGAGTTGAATAGTGACCCCACCTCCCCCTCCAAAGTTCACGTCTACCTGGAACCTCAGAATGTGACGTTATTTGGAAATAGGGTCTTTGTAGATATAATTAGTTAAGAAGAGGTCACACTGCTTTAGGGTGGACCCTGAATCTATTGACTGGTGTCCTTATCAGAGAAGAGGACACACAGCAGGAAGACTCCATGCGAACGTGGCGGCAGACTGGAGTGATGCAGCTGTAAGACAAGGAACGCAAGGATCGCAGCCACCAAAAGCTAGGAAGCGGGAAGGAAGGAGTCTTGTCTAGAGCCGTCAGAGGGAGCACAGCCCTGACAATACCTTGGTTTTGGATTTCTAGCCTCCAGAACTGTGAGGGAATGAATTTCTGTTGTTTTAAGCTGCCAACTTTGTGGTACTTTGTTACAGCAGCCAAAGGAAAACAACACACCCATTAAAAAAATTTATAATCTATTCGTATGTAAGAACTCTCTGTATATTAATAAAATCAGTCCTGTCTATAAAATTAAATACTAACTTTGATACATACACAGAATGGATGTAACACAGATGTGAGTCATAAAGCATAACTACACAGTGAACACCCACTGGGGACAGGAACATAACTAGTAACTTCCATCTACCTGCGTGTTCCTCTCCTATCTCCTCCTCAACTTTCCCCAAGGAGTAACCACTAAACCACAAACCTGAATTTTGTGTTTCTACTTCCTTTATGTAGAAAAAAAGTTTCATTACACAGATATGTGTGCCAGACAAAATACTGTTCCATTTTGATTGCTTTTGAATTTTATTAAAGTCTACCCTATGATTCCTCTGCAACCTGGCTCAATACTATGCTTCTCAGTCTGACCCATGTGTTGCATACAGCTGTGGGTCCTCAACTGTCAGGCTGTATGATAGTACTGTCATATATTTTCCCTGCCACATCACACACAGTCCCCTGTGTCCACCACAATGGGTATGTCCATTCTCCAGCTGATGGACGTTTGGGTTGTTTCCAGATTTCCGCTGCTCTGGTTATGCTTGACCATACTTCCTGGTAAGTATGTGCAAAAGTCTTCTCTCACATCTAGGAAAGGAACTGCTAATTAGTTGAGTACATGAATGTTCAACCTAATAAAATATTGACAAACTGTTTTCCAAAGTGGCTGTACCTATATATACTCCCATTAAAATATATATTTTCCCGGGGCTGGCCCCGTGGCCGAGTGGTTAAGTTCGCGCGCTCTGCTGCAGGCGGCCCAGTGTTTCGTTAGTTCGAATCCTGGGCGCGGACATGGCACTGCTCATCAGACCACGCTGAGGCAGCGTCCCACATGCCACAACTAGAAGAACCCACAACGAAGAATACACAACTATGTACCGGGGGGCTTTGGGGAGAAAAAGGAAAAAATAAAATCTTTAAAAAAAATATATATATATATATATTTTCCCATGAGATCTTTATAATTCTGACTTTTCACAAATGAAAAGAACCGTTTAAAGAGACTGATATTCAATAATTATTCTAGACTAAATGTAAAAGAAGCGATTTTTTCCTGATACTTTAAATTATGCTGGCCTATAGATTAAAAAAAAAGAACTTGAAAACAGCTGATATAATGCCAATACCACGATTAACACACAGAACAGAAATTCTCACATGAACTGCAATGGTCCAGAGTTTCAAAGCTTTATCAATCTATATTTCGTCAACATTTGATGTATCTGACATCAAATGGCTCACCTGGGGCTTCAGGTCTGCCTAAGTTAGACAGGTCGCTCTTTCTAAAAATAAACTAAACGCCTGAGGATGAGACTGTGTGTTAGAGTTAAAAGAACAAGACTAGGGAATCGAATCATGCCACTGACGGGACAGGAGGCCAGGGCAAGTCCTGGAACCTTCCTCAGCTGTAAGGAAGTGACTGTGCAACTGTCTTGCTAGTGCTAAGGGTTTCAAGAGTCAGGGGAGGGTGTGCACTAGCTGTGACCTCCAACAGGCATGCCTCGTACAATCATTACAGGCCCTGACAGAAAGGAAAAACGGCTTAAGATACATTTCAGTATCAACACCTTTAAAACAGTTCAAAAACAGTTATCATCACAAGAGTGTAGTAAGATTAATAAAGAATATTAATTTACACAACTCAGGTTCCAAACTTAATCATCATTTTCTATGTCTACACCTGTTATGTCTCTCTCCCCTGTTTGCAGTCAACAAATGTAAGACCCAGATCAACTCAAATGCTGTCTCCTCACCAAAGCAGGTTAGTTAACTGGCCCTTCCTTATTGGTGCTTTCTTCCTGCACAGTTACATTTCTTTCCGAACTACAATGTATTCAACAGTGTATCCAAGCATCTCCCTCACCAGATCATGAAATGAAGGGAGGAGACTGTCATTTATTCTGTGCGTCCTGAGCAAGTAGCTCAGGGTCTGGTGCCCAACAAGCACTCAATAAATATCTTGTGAATCCATATACTATGTTATTATTTTATTTTTTGCTGAGGAAGATTAGTCCTGAGCTAACATCCGTGCCAATCTTCCTCCACTTTACATGTGGGTTGCTGCCACAGCATGTCTGGCGAGTGGAGTAGGTCTGCACCCAAGATCCAAACCCACAAACCTGGGCTGCTGAAGTAGAGCTTAACCACTATGCCTTTAAAACCAATCTCTTTACAGCCTCATTTGGCGTTCAGAGTCAGTTACTCACGTGATGTTTAATTGACACATTCTACAATTCCTTCTCAAATGAAAATTAATTCCTGGATTCTATTCTTCAAATAAAGGCAACTGATCTTTGTAAAGTGTAACTTTGATAGCAATATACTAACATGCATAAGGTTTGGAGTATTGCTCATTACGTACATGTCTCATTCACTTCAATTTAATTACTGAAGAAATTATTCAATTATGACAAATACTACTGCTACTTTCCAAAGGGGATGGTATAGTTCTTAAAAGTTTTTAATAACTGGAAATGTCTAGAATCATACAGGAAAAAGGTTTCACAATGGAAGAAAGTGACAGGCATAGGAAAGTTATATAAAGTGAGGTAAATATGGGGATTATAAAGTAGAGCTCATCTCATTTCATACAGAAACACAAAAACTTTTTCCTAAACTCTGGTCAATAAAAGTGGATGGATGCTAGAACATCTATCAGGAATTTGACTGTGGCCCTCACACCCTGGCTGCACTTACAGAGTCCGCTCTCTTCTGAGGATCCCATCAGTCATCATCTGGCCAAGTTCAGAGGTCAATTCTCAGCCCCTCCCTGCTCAGCCTCTCAGCAGCATCTGCTCCACCTACCCCACCAGGCCCTCCAGCTCCCCTGCCTCTGGGACACCACTGTCGTGATGCTCCTTTGCTGGATGACCTCCCCTCTTAGTACTGTAAGCATTCATGTGCCCCAGGCCTCTGTCCTCTGACTTTGGCACTCCTCTCCACTCGCTCCAGTCCCACAGCAGCAAGGACCCTTGATTAATACATATCTGCAGCCCAGATCACTCCTCAATTCTCCCCCCAAGCCTGTTATCCTCTGCTGAGCCCCGCCTTGTTAGGGCACTATGGCTCATCCAGCTGCTCTAGTTACAAATGCTGGACATCATCCTTTACTCATCCTCCATATCTGAGCCATCAGCTAATCCCACTGGCTCTACTTTCAAAGCCTACCCCAGTATAACTGCTCTTCCCTCCCTTGCCCTGTTCCCCTTGTCCAAGCCAACACCATGCCTCGTCTCCATGTTTTCCCCTTACCCCCAGCACTACACCCTCCACGTCCACCTGTCACACCTGCCAACATGGAACTCTGACAACGTCACTCCTGTGCTCAAGGATGCCCAGTGCCTGCCAACGCCCCCCCGCAACTAGCTTGCCTCCAACACCTTCACACCTCACCTTGGTTCCTTGCACAGGAGCTATGCTGGCCTCTCCCAGTCTGTGAATCCACTGCCAAGTAGTTCTGTCTCAGAGCCTGTGTGCTCCCTGCCGCTCCCTCCGCTCCAAGTGCTCTTCCCACATTGGGCCCCGACCACCTCAGAGAGCCAGCCTGATCCCCCCCTTCCCCTGAGGCCAGTTCATTTTTCTGCTTAGTACAGATCACTGCCACACATTATATGGTTGCCTGTTCACGATCTCTTCCCACTGGAAGAGTGAGCTTCACCACTGAGCCCTCAGCTCCCAGCACAGTGCCCAGCACATAGTAGGTACTCAGTAAATACTTGTTCAACAAATGGACAAATATTTGAGGGTTACTACACCATTGATTGTTTTTATAGTTTGTCCTCCACCCCCAACCTCTCTCTCTAATTTACAGACAAGTGATCTGATTCTAACATGCGTACAATGTACAACTGTGCCAGATAATCGATGTATGAAAAAAGGTTAAATTCTCATCTCTCCCCCGACAGACAGCTGCACTTCAATACTGCAGGATAAATTACCCTGTTGAGTGACAGTTACGTCACAGAGTTGGAAAAGATGAAACAATCCAATAAGATTTTGAGGCCATTCCCTGGGACAAGTGAAAAATTCTATCTTTTTTAAATAATTAGTCTTCATTTTTTTGGGCACTCACAGTCAATCAAGGCAATGGAAACTCAATTACATAAATCAAAACAGGCAAAACAAATAAAGCTTAACTCTGAAATAAAGTCAGATGAAAATTGATATTTACTGCTATCTTTTCTCTTTATTCCTGTTAGAATAGTCATTTAAAAAGCTATTCTGTGGACAAATTACATCTGGATAGAGGGAAAGTAGGTGAAACAAGAAAATACTGCACCTGCAACGTAATCATTGGAACCTGACTCTTGCAGTGACTGCATGTGGCCTCGCGATATTTACAGGCCTTTTCCACGTGATCACGCAGGTCTTTTCTCAATACTTTCTCTTTGCAGTCAGGACGAACGCACGCAAGTTCTTCAAACTGGCAATCGTTCTTTAAATGCACCTGTAAGACAGAGGATTTGAAGTTTTTTCTCCCCAAAGCCCCAGTACATAGTTGTACCTCCTAGTTGTAAGTCATTCTAGTTCTTCTATGTGGGACGCTGCCTCAGCATGGCTTGAGGTGTGTAGGTCTGCGCCCAGGATCTGAACCGGTGAACCCTAGGCCACCAAAGCAGAGCACGCGAACTTAACCACTCAGCACAGGGCCAGTCAAAGTTCTTAACTGGCAAAAAATTCAATCAGAAATACCAGATTCTGGCCTTTATGCAATTAAATCCTGCAGCAATGTTTCTATCTGCCGTTAGGCCAGTTTTTCACAGAGAAGAGTGACAAATGTATCAAGAGACACTGAATTTCATATTCTATTTAGGGATTACTCAAACCACATTGCTTTTAAAGGATAAAAGTCAACTCTTCCTCCTGGATGGTTATCTGCTAAGGACTTTGTTTTATTCCAATTCAAATATCCTTTCAGGATAAAATATGATACGAATTAAAAAAATTTAAGAAGTTATGTAGAATTTCATGGTAAAAAAAAGAGAAGATTTAATGGGCCTTCCAAAATTAAAATTCAATTCAGACTTCTTTCTGTTCTAAACAGGGTGAGGGTGTTTAAAAAACAGGTGACAATTCATCCAGTGACGTCATAAAAAATAACATTTCATAACTAAATGGCTTTGACTACTTTCATACTTGGATGTATTTTGAAAGATTAATGTAATCATGGTCTCAAGGAGCCACATCATGCTGACCAATGACTTGTATTTCTTTTTTTTTTTTTTTGAGGAAGATTAGCCCTGAGCTAACATCTGCTGCCAATCTTCCTCTTTTTGCTGAGGAAGACTAGCCCTGAGCTCACATCTGTGCCCATCTTCCTCCACTTTATATGTGGGACGCCTACCACAGCATGGCTTGCCAAGTGGTGCCATGTCCACACCCGGGACCTGAACCAGCAAACCCCAGGCCACCGAAGTGGAACGTGCAAACTTAACCGTTGCGCCACCCGGCCGGCCCCGACTTGTATTTCTTAATGTGAAAACCCACCCTGTCACTTCAGTACTTACCAGCAGATGTCCCAGGGTTAACTGCTCTACACAACCTCTACTTTCATTCCTACAATATATCTGAAGAGCCAGAATCTCTCTCTTGCAGCAATTATCCTTAAACACCTGAAATTGAAAGACAGTTATTTTAGAGGATTAATATTTCTTAATCTCCACATGTCGCTACTTAGGGCAAGGCAAAACCACTTTAAAAAAATCACGAGAGCACCTCTTAAGTGGACCTCAGAAAGCATTAAGGACCATCTTAATTTCTAATTTCTATGAGCAGAATGAAGGAGTTACCCCTACTAAGAGAGACAATTTAAATAATACAACCTTAACTACCATCTTCTATTAAATAAGCCAAAAGAAAACAAGTTATACTGCGAAATTAAAGATCATTTTGGGACATTCAAACATTTTGGATGAACTATGACACAACGTCAAGGAGGGGGCAGAGCAGGACCAAGCTCACATTTGGACTCTGGGGAGTTCCAGGAGCCAGCACTGCGAAGGTGGCCATGGGTGGTGCACCTCCTATCAAGGGACAAGTGTAGAACGTGCTACAACTCAATGCCTTTTTAGGCTTTTTATGTTTGCTAGAGAAACAGAGAAATTACTGTAAAAGATGATAGCTTACAGATGGTGTGAAGAACATTTATTTTGGTTCCTTCTCTTAAGGTTATGTAACTCATAACTCATTCTTCACCAAAAAGGAGACATTAGCTTGCTATTAAAAGAAAAACTCTCTTAAATATATATTGCAAAAACTGAGGTTAATCCAATAGTGAAAATGTTTCCGTTTGAAAATGAAAAACTTCCTTCCTTTAGTATTATTTTTCCCTTAGAAAACAAGTACACTCGCTCCTTCTAACAACACGTTTTACACCGTCTTAGTCCTCAGGCACTTCTAAGAAACTCCCACATATTAACACTCTAGAACAGTGGAAAAAGAGACAGGAACCTTAATATGCCTTTCTCAGGCAAAGAAACAGAATCAACAGCTGTTAAGAGTTAAAAATAAAGTAATTTGGAGTCAAATCTAATCCTTTATAAACATGACTCTTTTTAAAAGGTCATAATTTATGATACTAAAGTCAACAAAATAGGTATTTTTAATCAGTAAGAAATAAGCTTCTTTTTTGCGCCATTAAGTTTCTTAAGTCATTTGAGTTTAACTTTATAGATAAAAAACATAGATTGAAAACATCAGAATAATTATAAGTATAGAATTTTAGAGCTTAAAAAGATCTCATATTATTTACTGCAACTATCCCATTTAGTAGACCCAAGGCCCCATGGTGGGTCCCACCATCAGTGACCTGCTGAGGGGTAGATCTGTCTCCTGGGGCCCCTCTTTCCCATGAAGAGCTAGGATGTTAGTCATTCTCATTTATGATTCTTCAGCAAAACTAGTAACTTTTCTTAAGCTATCAATGCCATTGAAAAATAAGGATAACAATTCTGAATAATGAAATGGAGACCCTAAAAAAATCACCTTAGTCCATTGTTTCAGCCTTCTCTCGCAATCACATTGGTTAGATATGTATTAACAAGTTAACAGGTTAGTTCTCATGTTAAGATAAACAGTAAAGTTAAGTAATTTGTCTTTCTTAAAAACAATACCTGTTACTGAAGTCTTTAGCAGCAGGTAAACACTAAGGAAGAAAAGGTACATGGATATTTGGCCATTTCCGTCGCTTAAACTGTCCAGGGTAGGTTACATCAGACACCCTTGTTCTGCTAGCCCAGGGTCACCTACTGCCAGCAACCCTCAAGTCACTGCACTCACCGAGCTGCCCTGACGACAAACTCAGTCTACAAAGTGCTTTAGACAGGAGAGCTCCAGAGCACAAATTTTATTGTACAATTTAATGACCTACATTTAAAAAACTTTTAGATTCATTAATCAAAATATTGGAACCATACATTTTTATTAATATTTTAAGTACTTTAAGAACGAGTTGTTTCAAACTAAATGTATGCCTGGCAGGCTTTGGCAGTGTGTGGATGACCACAGAGAAGCCATGAGAGGGAGAGGATCAGAGCCCCAGGAGGGAAGCTGGTGGCCGACCCGGGTGGCCCACTATGCTCTGAGAGCCCGCACTGACACCCATGAGTTCTTACTGGCACACACCATCACGTGGGAGCAGGAAGGGACGGAAATCTCATGTGTCTAATGACTTCAAGATACTGCATGGAGGGCAGACAAAGAGCACATTCAATAGCACCCCTCAGACTAGCACCGTTTTAAGAGGTGAGTACAAGCTGTCTGGGGTAAAGACCCTAGATGACAGCACACATCTCTGCACTTTACTTACACCAACTCCTGGACTCCTCCCACACGTCCTGGGGGTCTTAGGAGGTGATACCGTTACTGTTACAGGTGAGGAGACAGGATCAGAGTGGGTGAAGCACTCCCCGAGGTTACAGAGCTGGGCAGCTATGGAGCAGATCTGCCCGTCTGTCCAGGTGCTTACACGACACGGTCCTCTGCCTTGACCCTGCTGCACCAGCTGACAAACTCTGAGATACAGTTGGATCTTCAGAGCGCTGGATGCAAACTATGTGGAAAGTACTACCAGCTTAAAACATTTGACAAAATAATTCATTAAAAACCCAAGACTACCTTATCTTTAATGATGCCTTCTTGACACGCAGTACATTTTGGGCTTGAGGAGCTGAGAGGAAACACATAACAAACACGTTAAGGTGGAAGCCCCTTTCTCATTTGAACCCACGAGATGCGGTGGACAGCTCACCTTATGGTCAAACTTGCCTTGTGAGGTTCAGAGCAACAACCAGAGCTTCAGGATGCCATGGCAAATTTAGTTTAAATACAAAGCCAGGGGAGAAAAGGGCTAAATTTTTTTAATGGTAATTTTTCATAAGGAAGTTTTTAAGCAGAACAACTTAGATTAGTCCCACTTGGAAAGCCCCTTTCAATTAAAAGTGAATTTTTTTTTCAGAAACTAAAACTAGCTCTCTGTGGAGGCGCTCTTCAGTGTGAGTGTCCAGAGCTTACTGGGAGAGCCTTTAAATGGTCTTGCTTTATAAACACAGCCAGTATTCTCTCCACAAACTAATTTTCTTCGTGGTATACTGAAAGGCCAATGCAGTTCCACCCATGTTAACAGTATAAGAATTTAAAACTGAACCTGTCTAAAGAAACCCTAGTCTCCTGTATTATTCTAGTCCTCAAACTCAGGACATGAGCCACTGCTCCCACTTTGTCTTTTTTGGACTTGATTTCTACCCCATCCTGTGTCTGGAAACTACCTCCTAAAGATTAAAAATAAAAACTAAGTTTGAGCCCTTTCTACTTCCATGGCCTCTGTCCTAGACAGCCCAAGGACTCCAGGAGTCCAGGCCAGGGAACGTCAGTGGAGGCTTCAGAGAGCAGGAGACAAGGTCAGGCACACTTGTGCTGGCGCCGTGAGCAGCAGCGGGAGGCTCCACAAGCCTGGATGCGGGCAGGAGAGCTGAGGGCTGATGGGGGAAGAAATTAAAATTTCAAAATAAAAGCTCACTCATTTAGACTACATTAATATGCAGCTTGTGCTAAATTGTTTTAACCATGTCAATCTTTTCATATCCTTAGACCCCAGGGCTAAGAATCTTCTGGGTGGGATCCCCTGACACCTGGAAAATATAGAACAGGAGGAGAGCCAGGAGCAGAGAAAGAGCGGAAACCAGAAGAGGAGAGCCCCTGGGATCCCCCCTCCCCTGGGGCCCAGCAGGACAAGCAGGTCTCCCCCTGGCCCAGAGCTGCAGTCCAGGTTCACACGTTAAGGGAAATCAGGTGCTCTGAGTCTACTCTGCCTTCACTAAGCTCGACTCAGGAGTTATTTTACTCACAAGTGGGTGAAACTGAGCCCACTGTTTGAGATGAGTGGACACGACCACAGCCAGAAGCACCCAGGAGAGGGTGGGAGGAGAGGGAGGCTGGCTGCTGTATGGCCATCAAGGGCTGTGTCCTCAGTGGCAAATCAGGAAGAGAAGTGGGGCAGCCTTCCGAGGCCCGTGTGCCCTGATGATGGGGAGCAAGTCTCAGCATGTCCTGGTGTGACCCCCGTGCCCAGCACCATGCCCAGAAAATATCTGTGAGATGAACGAAGATGCTTTCTTGGCCAATGTTATTTCTGCTGTAAAATTCCAGTCTGCCTCGCTGACTCCCCTTATGATTCTAAAACGGCATCAATACTCAGCTGACAAGGGCTTCCAAGGGCTCAGTGCGTGTGCTGGGTAAACACGCACAGACTGGATTCCTACTCGGGTGAGGGACATGTCCAGTCCTTCCTGCTGACCTTCCTGCTGGCTCAACCTCTCCCCACAAGAGCACCTGCACTTTAAGGACTCCTATGTCATTTGCTGATGGATGTGTCTCCTACATGAACTGTGAGCTCCTCAGGCAAAATTCAGCAACACGGATCGGGGATACCAGGGACAGAGTGGCCAGGGCCATCAGGAAGGCAGTAGGCACAGGAGAGACTTCACAGGAGGTGCTTTGGGGAAGAGAAGAGAGAAGTCTTCAGGACAGGGCTGGGCAGTCCAGGTGGCAGGTCACAGAGGCCTCAGAAAACTCAAATGTGAGGTCCCACTCACATCATCCCCTAATCATTCCCTAAATGATTCACAAGCTGGGCTCTGAGAATTCTACTGGGGCTTTTTTAGAGCTTTCAACCTTTTGAGTTTATTTTTTAGAGAAGTAAATGAAGGAGCGGGTGGAAGAGCGAGACTGGAGAAGCTGAAATACACAGTGAACCCAAACCAGGGCGGTCGGGGCGCCTACCTCAGCAGGGCAGCCATGCAGGTCTCGCAGAAGCGGTGTCCACACTCAGTCTGCTTTGGGTTACACAGCACCAGGCGGCACTTCTCGCACTTGTACTTGTCCTCCACTGTCTTCACAAACCTTTCTTTGTAACCTCCTTGTTCAGGGACGAAAACTGCCGTGCTGGTGCTGCGGTCAGGGTGCAGCTTTAGCGGCGGGTTAGTCTGCAGGGCGCCAGGGGAGTCCATCTTCTTACTCGACTCCATCTTAGGAAAGAGAAATTCTGTGGGGGGAAAATAACAGTAACTGAGTTAAGGTGCAATCACATCGTCCTGCACAAGGAAACTACCAACACAGCTCTGGAAAAGCCGAAGAGTCTAGGAGGTCTTTTCTTTCAGTTTTAAGTAACACACAAGAACCTTTCCTGATTTTAACGTGATGGGAACAACAGACGACCCAACGTGCTTCCTTCCTTTCTGCTTCACCCAAATACTACTGTTAATGTTACTACTCAAAAGACTTTCTAAAGGGTGTAAATTGTATTTTAAGGTTCTTTAAAATACAGATAATACTTTGCTGTGCTGTAACTTCAATTTGGATGCATCATTCCAATATATTTTTTATTGAGTTCATAATAGTTGACATCATTGTGAAACTTCAGTTGTACATTGTTTCTTGTCTCTCACCACATAAGTGTTCCCCTTCACTCCCTGTGCCTCCTCAACCCCCCTTTCCCTGGTAACCACTGAACTGTTTTCTTTGGCTGTGTGTTTGTTCATATTCCACATACGAGTGAAATCATCTGGTGTTTGTCTTTCTCAGTCTGGCTTATTGCACTTAACCTAATTCCCTCCAGGTCCATCCATTGTTGTTGCAAATGGGATGATTCTGTCTTTTTACTGGCTGAGTAGTATTCCATTGTATATACCACATCTTCTTTATCCAGTCATCAGTCGATGGGCACTTCGATTGTTTCTATGTCTTCATTCTGATAGTCTGACCAAAGCAACAGCCATTCTTAGCCAATTTTATTTCCTAGTTAGCCTCACTGCCTGAGGACAATCTGATGGTATGACTCAGAAGTGACCTTTCCCACTCCGACGGCACTGCAGTCAAGCTTGTGATCAGGACTCCATCTCTCATTCCAAGAACAGCACTTACTGGTTGATGGTGTCTGCAGACTCCTAGTGCTACTCTTTCCACAATGAGACCCCACGAGAGTGTACCCACAGTGCCCTGATCTGGCAGGTCATGACTGGCGTTTGCCTTCTGCCTGTGCCCACTCAGCCCCACCTCACTTCATTAACTCTACAACAATGGGTGCTGCACTGTGCACTACAGAGCTTTGGGGTGGGTCCATCATGGATTTACTGGTACTTTCATGCCCAGGGTCAGAGCCAGTGGACGGGACACTGGCACTGGACAAGTCTCCTGTGCCCACCTGGGCAGGCTCTCCTACTGCACGTGGTAACAAGTGCACAGATGGTTTGTTCCCACCTCAAGTTCCCATCAATAGGCAGAGTAAGCAGTTCCTGGCAATGAGCCACAAAGATCCCAGCCTGAGCAGCCGTGCCAGCTGAGGTGCACAGTAGTGTGTCTGGTGCATCTACAGAGGAAGTTTCTCTCAAAACAACATTGTATTCCTGCTCAATCTACTTCTAATACTTACAAGAATAAGGACCAAATTCTTACTCAGGAGGTCCTGGGCATCTATCCGCCATCCCCATTCTTCTCTCCTCAGTGTGAGGCTCGCCGTGAGCTGGTGCTAGGGTGTGGCTGCACACCCCGTTTGCTGGAACGGGAGGCAGCCCCTCAGCCCAGAGCACAGGGCACTCAGAGGTGGACCTGGTGCAGGGCCCACTCTCTGCAAGCCTTGTTCCTCACACTGCCTCTTCTGAGGCTGAAAGAATGGGCAATTCAAGGCTAGGGATGTACAGGAACTAACGCCAGCAGCAGACCATTTGACAGATAAATGAATTGGTGTTCTAGCCACACTCAGGTTAGTTTTAATAAAATAGAACATTACTGTGGCAAAGTGTGGGAGTGTTCTGTGAAATCTATTTGTAAAACCCCCCCAAAATTTTCAAAATGACCTCAAAAGGCCAGCAACCTTTTGCTCACAAACTTGTTGATCAGAACCTGTTCATTAAGATGCTAAGTAGGAAGGTGCCGATGCTAACCTTGCCTGTCAGAGAAAAGGGTCAATCTGCTGTCCTCCAGCCACCCTACCTCTGGCCATGCACGCCCTTCCCTGCCCTCCATGCTGGGCACATGGTTCTGCAGATGCTCTAGGCTCACTCCCAGCCCCCAGGCACCCCCACCTGGAATGCACCTCCCACCTTCTCAAGGAGGCCCATCCTGGCTGACCCCACTCACACGACCCCCTTTGCCATGGCTGTGCCTTTTCCACGGCATTCCTGCCTTCTGGGACTGCAAACTTATTCTTCATTGTCTCTCTCCTTTCAGCAGAACATAAGCTCCCTGATAAGATGAATTTTGATCTGTTTTGTTGACTGACAAACCCCAGGTACCTAGAATAGTGCCTGATGGGTAGAAGGGGCTAATACACGATTGCAGAGTTAACAGAAGAAGAGGTGTAGTCTGAGTTACTCGTATTAAACTGTATTTCTGTGAGAACCAACTCTTCCAGAGAAAGGAAATTCTTCAGCTTTCAAATCTAATCTTTCAGCTTCATGCCTTGAAAACCCCTGCTTAGATTATAAACTACTTTCAACTTTGGTTTAGTATTTTATCCTATAGAATAAACAGTTTTTAATGAGAAATGTTTGATTCTTAGGAGGCGAATTCCTATTTCAAATATGAGGGACAAATAGCTTAAGCTAATGATAAATAATAAATGTTCATTTACCTATAACATGTCACACTCTGTACAAACAAGAAAGAATATAGTTTTGGATCCTTTGTTTTTACAGGTTACTTAAGATAAGCAGAGAGATACACAGGTATCCCAAGCACACAAATGAAAAACCTCACAGCAGCCTTGCCCTAAAGGGCAGAGGACAGCTCACAGCTGGCAGGTTTGTCAGGACTTAGCTGTAATGTGGGGCACTGATATGGGCATCTCTAGAATGGGCTACCGGGTATCTCTCACAACCCTACCCAGCATCCCTGCATCCTGTGCCATGCATGGCCCATTCTTGAGCTAAGCTGCTGGCTGGAGAATCAGCCGCCAGGGAAGGAGGGAAAGAGGCCCTGTAGTGCTTAGGCAGCAGGAATAGGAAAACACCAGACCTCCTTCACCCAATAGTCACAGGTGAGGAAAAAGAAGCATAAGAAAACTGCTTATACAGGAAATGTCCAGAACAGGCAAATTCAGAGCCCGAAAATAAATTCATGGTTGCTAGGGGCTGGGGGAGGGGTAGCATCTACTAACGGGTTCAGGGTTTCTTTTTGGGGTGATGCAAGTGTTCTGGAAAGAGATAATGGTGATGACGTCACAACTCTGTGACTATACTGAAAACCACTAAACTGCACACTTTAAATGGGTAATTTTTATGGCATGTGAATTATATCTCAATTTATAATCTAAACAGTATTACAAAGCAACAGTTCAAAATGGTTCCATTTGTGTTGGGTTAACTTGTGATATTTATAAATAGTGTCATTTACTTTATTTTTTTAAATCTTTTTAAAGATTGGTGCCTGTGCTAACATCTGCTGCCAGTCGTTTTTTTCTTTTCTTCTTCTTCTCCCCAAAGCCCCCCAGTACATAGTTGTATATTCTAGTTGTAGGTCCTTCTGGTCGTGCTGTGTGGGACGCCACCTCAGCATGGCCTGATGAGCGATGCCAAGTCTGCGCCCAGGATCCGAACTGGTGATGCCCTGGGCTGTCGAAGGAGAGTGCACGAACTTAACCACTCAGCCATGGGGCCAGGCCCTGGTGTCATATACTTTAAAATATAAGACTCTAAAACTGAAACTATATATGCCTGGTGCTGTGGAGAGTGCATGACACATGAGGGGGTACGACAGGATTTTCATTTATATTACAAGAGTATATTCTCTCAGAGAAAACAACAACAAACAACTAAGACATGGGAGTGTAAAGGGAAAAGATTAAGTACCAGGTACCCTGCCTGCAACTACCCAGAGGTAGACACTCCCTTCTGGCAGTCTGTGCACCTGTGCAGATGTCTAGAAACAGCAAATGCACATATAAGAAAACATGTCTTTTCTTTTTTTCCCTCTACACAAACTGTGTCACACATGCAAACTAACCCACAGCTCTCTGTCACCAACAGTGTATCCTGGGCACTTTTACAGACCAGCACATAATGACCATTTCATTATGTTGAAGGGCTGCATAGCACTCCACTGTACGGTTTGCCACAACTTATATAACCAGTGCTGCTTATGGAGATGTAGGCTGCTTTTGATCTTTTGCTATTATGGACAATCTTCGTTGAACATTCCTAAACATGTATCTCTGTACATTTAGGTAAGCATACAGCAACAGAACTGTTGGGTCAAAGATGATGTGCATTATAAAATATTATAACTGTTGCCAAACTGCCTTCCAAAAAGGTTGTACATTGCATATTTCCTCCAATGGTTAGTAAACTATTAAATATTAGTTTGGAGGACAACAGCCTGTTTCACTTAAACCCTGATGCTTCCCACTTTGTTTCAGCCTGGACAGTGTTTTCTGGAGAGTGCTGTTGGCCATGTTGTTGTGCAAACATCAGGGTTCTCCTGTGGAGCCCGTCAGCAGGCACAGCCCCGGAACACTCTAGGGCACACCCACTGCCCTTCTACACGCGTGAGAGAACCCTTCCTCAGGTAAGCAACTCTGCAAAGCTTTGCCAAACCAATCACATTTTATTTCAGTCAACACACTGGGCACCTACAATGTACACAGCTCTGGGCCTCGACTATCAGGGGACACAGGGATGAAGGAGACTGTCCCCGCCTTGATAGATCTTTGAGGGAGTCATGAGCGCTCCAGAGTCAACAGTGTAACAATCAGCAGAGTGAGAAACACCACCTGAGAGTTAGAGAGCTGCAGATCTTCAAAAGAGGAAGATATCATCTGTTTTGGGGAAATCGGGCTTCCTGAGTTGACTTGTGGCATAATTCCAATTCTAGTAGAAGCGGACAAGGAGTGGCAGCAGATACAGCACTCTGAGGTGGCTGTGGAGGGGAACCTGGGATTGGGGCTCGGGGGGAGGCCCGGCATCTGGCACTGAGTCAGTCTGGGTGGGAAGGCCGGCCCAGTGTTTCTTCCCTGGGGATCCTCAGGCACAGCACTTATCCTCTGAACCT